TATTGCTTATGCTGATGATTAAGAGCAACTGAGCGCCAGCTTTCGGTGCCGGAGGAGCTTCCGATTGAGATTCAGATTCAGAATCAGATTCCCAGACCCCCACGCCCTGGCCATCCATCCAACCGACCACACAAAAGCCATTCGCCCAGCGGCAGATTAAAATGTGTTAATGGTCCGCTGTCTCTTTCGCAGACAGCGCAGAGTGAGGGAGACGGAGACGGGCGGCGAGGACGAATCACAAATTGCCATCAATTAAGATCGCAAAATGCCAAATGAATCACCCAGAGAATTGTCTTCAGCACAGTTTTGAAGCCATATTGTGCTGGCTTTTGGCTCGTACTAAGCTCTAAGCGATACTCTTGAATTATGAATTGCCGTGTTTCTAATGGCATCAAAAAATATTTATAAATATTCATTGAAATTATATTCGCGTTCTGTAAACATTGTCGAAAGTGAACTTGAGGTAATCACTTCTAATTAGGTATTAATATATTTTAATTTGACCTAATCCAGAAGTCAATAAGCTTTGGATTAGTTCATATTGAATTGACTACTTAAGGTTAACTTCCGCAAGTGTCAATGCAAGAATAATTAACTAAAATGCTTTGTAAAATTTATTGAGAATAAGGGAAAATAGAAATAGTTACTAAACCTATTTTCTAAAATATTTAAATTGAATGTGATAAAACTCACAGAACAACATTAATGTATAACAAAAATTGTATTGCTCGAACGAATGAGTCTAAGCAATTTCGAATACCTTAAATGGTTTGGAGTTAAATCGTATTTTTCTTTAACGTTATCAAGAGGCTACCACAAAAAATTTCAAATAAAAGAAATCCAGTCAACTCGGCTAGACCTTTGTTCCAATTATAAGGTTTAAAATATAAATGTCATTAAAACTGTTCATTGTACCTCGATTTTGTCATGGCAATAGAATTCTAAGATAGGATTGTGCATATTTATTGAAACCTGTACAAAAATTAAGAAGTTGCAAAAAAAAAAATGTATGTCCCTGTGTTTTTGCTATGCTTTGTTGCTGGTGTTTGGCATTCTCTTGGCTGAATGCCTTTCTGATTGTCTGTGGTGGCGTTTGGTCTGTTTGTTTAACCGGCAGAAAAACAACAACAAAGAGAAGCAGCAGCAGCAGCAGCAACAGAAGACCAGGGACAACCAACCAATAGACGTTCCCTTACGAGCTGCTCATAAGCCTGTTTATGTGTCCGTCCGTCAGACTTTCAGTCTTTCGGTCTGCCACTCCGACGACTTGTGTCCCCCTTCTCCCAGTGTATTCCACTGTGTATGTCTATTCGGTGGAAGTGGCCTTTCCGTCCTGCTTCTGCAAGCTGCCTGCCTGTTTACAGGAAATTCCATCAAATTCCTGTCGGTTAGATGCAGTGAAATGAATAATATAGTACCAAGGAATTAGGTTATTACACTGAAACAAGAAGCCAGTCGAGTAATTTCATTAGCTGCATTCTTTGCGACCATCGAAGAATACCTGCTTATCCTCGTGCTTAGCGTTTCATTGCAGATATCCCAGGGGACAACTGCAGGTGAGTATTATTATTTTGCATAAACTCAGTTGGCTGAGCAGATGTTGCCATGGCCCCAGTATAAGTTGATGTTGCCAACTAGCAAATAGACGTACAAATCGCATGTTCGTATTTAGACAGCCAGCTTGGATTGCAGGGGAGGTTTGTTGGAGGGGGGCTTTCGAAGGAGAACAAGGAACCCGGACCGTCTGTAGCCCACCCACGCTACTTACGTTGAAAAGTATCTCTAACTGATGCTCAGTTTGCCATTCGTTCGGGCGGATGTTGCTGCTGTTGCTGTTGTTGCTGTTGTTGTTGCTGTTGTTGTTGCTGTTGTTATTGCTGTTGTTGTTGCTGTTGTTGTTGCTGCTGTTTGTGTTGCTGGAGGCATAAGAGCCTTGGTAATGGCAGTCACAGACATCAGCTTCCTCCGCAAAAACCCCCTCCATATTCCATGGGCAGCAGCAACAGCAACAGCAGCAGCAGCAGCAAAAGTCAAGGTATTTTACTTGTGAATTGTTTGTAAGTGGAAAACTTTCTGCACACGTTTCCCCATAAATACAACAGAATAAAAACAAAATATGTAAAGCGATTAACTCAATAGTGAAGCTTAGATACTCTAGGCAGCTCCAAATGGGAATTACTTAAAAACAATAACACATAATAAAAATGGGTGCTACAGTTGGTATTATTTTAAGTTTTTCTTGAATCATTGTGACTGACACAATAACTATAATACTGTATTTGTAGCGTTAGAATATTAATAAATTAAAATAATGTGAAAGGAAAAGAAAAAATGGTAATAACTTATATTGATAATTTGTATTTAATTTAATTAAGCTTGACTTAAATTTACTAGGCAATATGAATATATAAAAAGTAGCTTCAAAAGTAAAAAACTGATTTTTTAGGACCATTTTTAAAGTTTTTTTCACAAAAATTTCAATTAAAATATTATTTTATCCATATTAAATGTATTTAACAATTAAACAAATAGGTAAGGTAACTTATTCTAATTAAAACCTAATGAAATTGTTTATAGAACCGAAATTCAAATGATCTTTTTCGAAAACGGTGGCAGAAAAATAAATAATTATAGAAAAAATGATTAATGCTAAGAAATAGAGTATTTAACGATTTCGTCTTAAATCGTTTTAGTTTTGCCGCTCTGCCGCGTTTCTGTAATTGTTTGTGTGTAATTTTGCTGAGCGGGCAAGATCCCGAGCGTTTGAGTTTTGGGAAGAATTTAACGAGAACTCAGTGACAATAATTAATGCGAACTTAAATGTGTATATAATTAGGAAGAAATTACAAGAAACTGCCGCGACATTGAATTTATGTCGGCAAGTAGATGAACTCAAATTAACTTGATAATTTGGGGGGTGATGGTGATGTTGGGTGTTTAGGTGGTTGAAATGGAGTCATGTGATGTAAAATCAATTACTCAACAATGCCCAGGTGGTGGAGGGTGGTCATAGATCAAAGACATCGCGCAACAATGGAGCTCTGCGATAGCGGATGAGCATCAATCACATTTCGTGCGTTTCATTGCCGGCGGGTGAAGTCCAGGAAACCCAGGCAGCAACCCCAAAAACACAGGTCCCCTGTCCATTAACCCCCACAAAATTTGCTTGGAAGAGTTCCGAATCGTATGTCAAACAATGGAATCCAAACGGAAAACACCATACCACTCCATTGTCAGCTTGATGCAGCATTTCGTAAATTAATCAAACCCTATCAAAAAGTCATAATTACGTTTTAAACGTTCCCCCTTTTTATGATAACTCCTATTATATTCGGCATTCGTTTTATTTGATTTCTATGCATAATGATTTTAAATGGCCAATACTGCCAATGTAAATGCAACAATTAGGCGGACAAAGCTAACCGAAAATCAATTCAATTCAATGCAATTCAATTGGAAGGCGCACGGTGGCAGGAGCAGCCAAAAACATTGTTGCATGTGGCCATTTGCAACAGCAATCACAGAGCAAGCCAAAAAGCAAATGCAATAGCTCAGCCTAAAAGCAGCCACAAAAAGTTATGGCAGAAGGAAACACCATTCACACACACCCACTTTTTCTGTCAGGGGCGGCTCGAAAAAGGGTGCGGAATGGTGAAGAGTTCATGCACTGCAAACACAATTTTAAATCTCTAATTGAAATATTTAATGACACGAAGAGTAACAATGTTTTAAAAGTACCAAAGAAAATTCTGTTAAATTCTGTTATACAATTTTTTCAAAATTACAATTACAAATTTGCAATGAAATGAAATGATTCTTTACCAAACGACTTTTGGTCTAAATTAAATAAAAGAAATTTATTATATTATTATCTCTTTATCAACTAGTAACATTTAATCTAAATCAGAGTCTCCTATTAATAAGTAAATTATTGTTTTCAGTGCTTTTGTTGCGGGCGTGGCACATAATAAAGCTGGCCTGTCTGTTCCAATAATGGCCGTAAATTGCCGTCGCTCCAACTGCTTCTGTTTGTTGTTCTTGTTGGGCGGGGTGTTGCCGGGGGGTGATGTTGCAAATGCAATTGCAACTGCAACACTGCAACTGACTGCAGCGTATTTGTATATAAATGCAAGTGTGTATCTTTGTGCCGCCTGTGGTATGTGAAGCACATTTAGGAAATTAAATGCGTTTACCTTGCCATCCAGAATTCCCCATCCCTGCGGCTTTCGGTCCGCCGCCCAGAATTTATAAGCCTTTTGGCTACATTTTGTGGCTTTGATTGCAATTATCTTTTGCATTTTGTATTTATTTGCTACACTTTGGGCAGTTGTCCGCATTCGGGCTTTGTCTCCGGCATCAACATCCACTGTTCATTGTGGCCATTGTCAGTGGCCGTAGTCCATATGTGTGTTGTTGCTGGGCCCTATATAAATCCTTTTGTTTTTCACAAAGCCTGGCGTACGTACGTGCAGCTTCCAATTTGAAGTTTATTAATTGTCAATTTCATGAATTTTTCGATAGCCTTCTGGCTATTGGCTTCGACCGGCAGGCAAATCAAAATCAAAAACTTTGATTTGTGTGTACGTGCTGCAAAAGTGAGTCTCTTTATTTGAACAGTAAATGGTTTATTAATATGATACCTGTAAGTGAAGTTTAATTTGACCACAAGCTGCTTGTTTTGGGGACTATTCGGGGCGCTGGTTTTTAAAGCTAGTTTTATAGTGATTAATATGATTTTATTCCATTTTAAATATGATGTACAATTTGGATAGAGTCAATTATTTTTACAATAGCATATTGTATCAACACAAAATAAATTATTTTTTTTGGGGTTTTTATTAATATGCTCATTTAAAATATTGTTTTTCATTACAAGCATTTAAATATGTTGTAAAACATCTTTGTGACAAAATTTAAATTTCGAAAATGAAATTTTTAAAAGAAAATTATACTAAATTTTAAAAATTTGAAGTTAAAAACCAAATACGAAAAAGAAAATCTGCTTAACCGTGGTGTTTATTAAACGTAATTGAAACGTGAACATTGCCAAGCCACAGGTATCCTTATTTCGGTGGAGTCGAGGAGAAGGGACATTCCTGGTGTATTGAATAAGTATTTGATGAGTAGTTGTGGGTTATTGGACCAGATTGGACGAGATAGGATCCTAATGAGTTAGCTCGTTCTTCTGAAGTTCGCCGCCCGGGCAAAGCATGATCATTCAGAACTGACCCCAACGTTGTGGCAGACCCTCACCATTGGGATAGTTCTGACTGGTCATGTTCTCGACCAAATAGTTGGCAAAATACTCGCCCCGCTGATCCTCCTGAACTTCCCTCATGGCCCGCGTAACATTGGCCATTAGAAGGCACATTTCTGGCTGCTGACTTCGGAGCAAAGGCGATGGCTTAGCGTTGGTGTAAAAACTGCGCAGTTTCCGCCAACGTAGTGGACCATCCGCCGCCACAGGACGACCTCCTCTGGCCGGAAAAGCATCCACTGGCGGCTCTTGAGGAGCATCCAGTAGTATGGCCATCTGCCGATTGTCCCGCCGGAACTGGTGCTGCTGTCCTGCATCGTCCAGCGAATCCGAATCACCGTCTGCATCTCCTGCCGTCGCATCGCCAATTCGATCGATCCGCATTCCATCATCGAGACCCAGAATTCCGCCCTCAAGTTCAAGTGCTGCGTCCATCATAAGGAAAGAACAGCCACCAAATGTAACAAAACTATAACAAGATAAATACGGCAGTTTTTCGTGAATTTCTGCTTTTCAATACGATGTTGTGTTTTTGTATATTCGATTGGGTTGGACAATACTAGAAGTGTTTTAGTTTGGATACAAGTAAAGTAAAACTCCAGGCCCTAATAAAATGGCTACTTGATTTGAAAATATTTCGGTGAACAAAGCTTACTCTAAAAACTTTAGCTTTTACTTCAATAATTATATTTATTTCAATATTTTTTTTTATTAAAAGCTAAAATGTAATTTCAGTAAAGATATTTATATTTATATATGAACTATTTTTAGAATATAACAATTGTAAGATATCTGTACATTAACTGGAAAAAAAAAAACAAATCATTGCTATTTTCCCATGATTAAAATATTAAACCACAATTTTGTTTAATTTCAGATAGGGATTTCTAGAAAACATTTATTAATATTTTGTTGCCTTATGAAATAAATATTAAGTACAATTTATAGCTAGCTGTGCATTAGTAGACACTTTTTTATAAATAAAGCAAAATGTAAGAAAATTTAAAGAATGTATAAAAGGACTTTCTAATTCCTTGAAATTTGTTTAATTGGTTGATGGTAATTTCGGTAAGCAGTTTTAAATGTACCAGTGCAATCAATATTTTCATTAAGACTTTTATCTTATAAATACAAACATATTTTCTAGAAGCCAACTTAATTTAATGAAAATGTTTTGGCAATGTAACAAAGTATAACTTGCCATTTACCAAATCCCATTTGGGCCAAAGTTTTGCGCCTCCTGAAGGGGCGATGAGATAGAATCGTGTGTATCCATTAGGATGTAGTCATATCCATATCGAACGGCTGGCTCCCAGACGTCCAGCGGCAAATGGAGAAACGCTGTCTGACATTTGCTTGCCTGTTCCGAATAGAGCCCACACCCCCAACGCCCTCGAGTGATTGGACACACTTAGCCCTATTTAACCCCTCAGCCCCCTCGGCGCCCCATCGTCGTCATTACAAGCAATTTAACTCGACGTAATGTTGCCATCAAGTGCTCCGGAATTAAAATCAGAATCCGGCAGCTGTTTGTGTGTCCGTAATGGAGCACATTACGAACTGTAAATGAGTTCATTACGGCTGCTCAATTAATAACTTTTCGAATTGCGTTTAAGCAATCGCATTTCGGAAATTGTTTGCCAGACAAATCGGTGCGGGAACGAAAAGTTTTTTTTACCCGCCGTAGGAAATTATGAAGTCGGGCAGCTGCATCCAACAAGTTAGCCCCTGGCCTCGTGTTTGTTGCTAGGAATGCCAGCAACATTTCGAAGAGCGCCGACGCAGATGCTCGCGCTCTCTCTATCTCTCCCCTGTTGCCATCTCTGTCCCACTCTCCTTCTCGGTCTGACCCCTCGCTTGTGGGACAATTTATTATGGCTTTGTAATCACATTGTTGCCATTTTCACTTCATTATTTTGCTTTAATACGAGCAAATTTTTGTTTTACTGCTACACCGCAAAAAAACGGGTTTGTTAATGAATTTTTAAGCGCTTTTAATTTATTCTTTAAAAGATATTATAACAATTATGAGTTATTTTATGTATACAAGTCCCTGATTGTATGATAAAAAATATAATTATAAAAAACTCTTTTTTCTAATTATATTTTTATAACCGCAACCGGCAAAAATTAAAAAAAAGGATACCAAAAAGCATCTTTAATGGGCTGAAAATGTGATTTACCAAGCTTTTAATATTTTTCGTTTAAAAATATGGCTTAAAAAAATATCTATATTCAAATGTAAGGCAAATAAAAAAATAATTTTTTTTAAAGAAAAAAATTATTGTTAGCAAATTTTATTATGAATTCAAATATTTTTCTTATAACTCCTCTATGTGTGAGTTGCATCCTTCGGCTTCTGTTTGCGTCAGTTCGTGCGTTCTCTCTCTCGGGCTATCTGTCCCTGTCTCTTTCTTTTAAGCTCTTGCCTCTCTGTCGCTCAGTTGGACTGTTACAGTTGGTTAAGCAACGAGGCCAGGATGAGCTTCCTATCCAGTTATCAATGAAGAAATGAACATGTCCCTGCTGCATCGTCGCTTCGGGCGACCTTGCTTCTGTGCTTGTGTGTGTGTGTGTGTGCGTGTGCGAGTGGGTGGTTGTTTTAGGTGCTGGGTTATGTCCGCAAGTGTGCTTGTTTGTGCTGCAGACAGTAATTATTGTGCCATGTCCAGCGTTAATTGATTCAATGAAATATCTCCAGCACCACCATTGTGTCTCCTGGGCAAGAAAATATATCGCTATTTCTCGGTACGTTTTGTGTAGCTTCTCAAGAGATAACGTTAAATCGGATTTGTTAGGAATCAAAATAGATTGACTTTGATAAATCTCACTTTGATTTGTTTGCGTACAAGAAACTGTTAGTTTTAAAATTGGTTAAAAGATCATAATTGTTATGATATTCGTTGGGAATATTATGTTTAATTTTTAAAAACATTTAAATTACATTTGTACAGCATTTTTTCAGTAGGTTGAGTTGTTGCCAAATAACGTTATTGATGCAGACTATATAAATAAATATTCAAAATGTAATAGTCAATTACAGGTTCTCTCACGTAAACACCAATCCTTCAGTTTGAATTTTCACACAGCCGCTCTGTGCACAATCAACACCCTTGACAGATGTTGGATAACTAATGACCTCTTTTAAGGGGTTTCAATTAGCTGATGCTGCCGCCGTAAACCAAATCCCCAAACAATGCGTAATCATAAACCAAATATTATGCTAATCAATCCATCAATATTTAAGCACTCCCCTTGGGGTATTTCGTCGACGTGCAGCCAGCTGCCAGCTAATTAAATTGAATTATTATTGCATTTAATTATCGGCCATGCCCGGCATTCTATGGCCACATAAAATGTCAACTGCATTAGCATCATCATTATCGGGCCGGGCAACACTTTCAGGCATAAATGTGCATACCTTCATCATACATACTATTATGTCCCATGGAGCCCCAGCCTCCTTTGATCTCTGCCTGCATCGACGTTGCGCTTGTTAAACTCAATACAGGCGAGCATAATTCTTATTTTTATTTTTTTTTTTTCAACACTGAGCGGACGGGTGAGATGGGTGTGCGTGTGTGCGTTTGTCTTTTGCTTTTATATTTTCGTTTTTAATTACTTTTGCGCTATTTTTAAGCTGTCTGCGGACCGGCAGCATTCGAAACCAGGTCCCAAGTAACGACGGAGCAGGGACAAAGTGGCAGAGAAACCAGTCCCCAGTCCGCTGCATCTTTACTAGGTGTTAATTTATTTTTAATTTTTATTATTTATCAGTGCTATGCGATCGCTCTGGCAGCCGTCTCCATCAAAGTGGATCGCTTCGGCTCCCTGGACACTTCCACGCTTTTCCGTCTGTCAACTCAACTGCGTCACTGGAAATAAAGTTATGATTTCTATTTGATTTCTTGCAACCCAAGAAATATTTTTTTTATTTGCATAGAAGAGTGTTTTCATTACTGTATTTTTTAAAGTTTATGGAGAAATATTATAAAAAAATTAAAATAATTACACAAAGTCCCATCGCATAATAAGAGATAGATTGCTGAGTATTCCTTGCGACTTTATTTCCAAGTTATGTTAACCTTAGACTAATGCATATTTACGTTTTATGTTGCCGATTACGGGCATTGTATTATTTAATTTTTGACTATGTATACTTAGGTACATAAGTGTATCGCTCTCCAAAGACCCGTTCAATCTGCACGCCCACACCTTTAACTATTCCATCATCATAATGCTGACGTTTCTATTGCATGCCATGTGCTATTGCCACAACCATTCTCATCCTCATCTTCGTTCCCATTCGGGTTCTCCGTTGCCTGGACTGCACTCTCGCATGCAATTAATATCATTTTTATGTTCTAATAACATTCGCTGCGCTGCATTTGGTGTGCGTTTAGCGAGGGAGCGGCGGCGGGTGGGCCGGGTCCCCGAAAAACCATCATCGCTCAAAACGGCGTGTCGGGCACGAATCTTTCAAGTTGTAAAAACGCCATTAAATTGGCAGCGAAGTGCATGCCAGCCAGCCGCGATGATGATGATGATCACTCAGAAGAGGAGCCAGCCGGGTCTTTTGGCCATAAACAACTTGGAAATGTGAATTGGGAACTGGGAAATGGAAACTGGGAGCTTGGAACGACTGGCAATGCGTAGGGCGCACCAGTTGCCCCATTAAAAGAGGTCCGACCCTGGCCACATTTAATTTACTTTATTGACTTTAATTAATTTGTATGTTTTTATTTCGATTTTAGTCAAAAATTTCTCGTTCGCTCACTTTTTGCTCTTTTGTTGTAAATATCATAAATATTTCGATGCTGCTGGCCGGCCATAAAATGTTTTTGTGGAAAAGTAATAAAGCTAAAAGTGTATAAATAAGTGTTGTAGAAAGCGGTGGTGGGTGTATTCCATGCTGTGGCTGCTACTGTTCCAGCCACGATTGGAATCTTAATGGTCAATAAAGGCTAATTAAATGTTTTCAATATAGTCGGCATGCACGGGTCTTTGGAGGGCGTGTGCGATAGGGTTAAAGGGTGGAAGGGAGTGGAAATGGGAACGATCGATCAAAACACTGGAAATTGTTGCATAAATCAACACGCAGAGATTATCCATAAGATACAAGATACCGCTTCGAGTGTATGTGTGGGCGCCCCAGCAATTGACGCACGCACACCACAAAGCTATTTTAATTGTCTGCCGCTCGAGTCGGGAAGCCACTCCACACTCCACACTCCATACCCCACACTAACATCCATGTCGCAGGGTTCCTCGTTGACAGCAGCCCAAAAGGCGAGGAGAAATTGCTACACGTTCCAAAAAACATAAACCGAGATGCATTCGAATAATTTTGTAATGATACAAATAATTGTTTTATTTATCATTTGGTTAATTACGTTTAAAGTGCTATTATTAACAAATTATTTTATTGGTTTGAAGTTCTTTATGCCTTGATTCTATCTATTTTTTTTTTTGTTAGCCATTTGATCCAATAAACGTAATTATTTGTTACTTCACTTTAATTTTAGTTCGATTTGTAAAAAGTATTCAAGCATCAAAGATATTATTGTAGTAACAGTCTATAACATTTTATTTATTC